GTTAGTTTCTCTGCTTCGAATCACGATCTAGTCGCGAAACTGCGACAAAAACACTGAAGTAGATGAGCTCCTCAGCCGTTGCTCTTCAATCTCAACTGCAATATCCGTCACACGTTCAGTCTTATGTGCATTTACGGCGCTTCAACGGTAGAATTTGTTGATGTGCAAGTGATGTCTACTGTTGTGAATTTGTGGGTGTTTTGTGGATACGGAGTCTCGCGCTCACATCGAAAGATGGGATGTGGCGATGGTCGTGACTGTCAGTAGTCATTGGCCTAGGCAGCCTTGTCAACGTCCTACACGGTTTTGTTTTCACGCCTGTGCTTGTCATCACATCTGTCGCAAGCCTGATCTCGCTGGTAGTGCTGTTGCTGTGACGATATGCAGTGCGAGAAAGAGAGAGACAGAGCATTTGTGCGGCTTTTTGTGCTCGGTTCGACATCCAAGGTGCTGTTACTTGGCGCTTTAGGAAGAAAGGAAAGAGGAGCAAGGCCCTTGGGGTCGTCCAATCGGAGAGAGAGAGTGTAGCCATCGATTTAGAATTGCTATGCAAGTCCCATCTTTTAGGTTTGTGGCATTGGTTTACTTGCTAGGGAACTTGTGATAATTTGTGTTATCGCATCGTCATCGCCGCCAATGGGTACGCAATCCTCTGTCGAATGCTTTTTTCAATTTCGAAATCAGGTGCACCTCACCACATCTGGAGCTCCTGGCTTCATGGAAAATATATGTTACTGTTAGTCATGGAATCCTCCGTTGACGCAACAAGATCTGCAGTGTCATGACGAGACCTTGGAGTGTTACTTAATTCAACGGATCTTTAAACATCGAAACATCAATGCACAGGACGACATCTTCGTCCCTGCAGTTAGTGGAGCCTCCAACTATGTAGAAATTGGATGACTAGTAACTCGCAGACTCGACTTACTTCAGGGCCCGCATGATAGCCAAAAATCAGCTCTCAGCAATGGACCATGTACTTCCAGATCGAAAATTCAAAAGCTCTGATTCGATGCATGCAAGCCTGATTCAGGCCTTGGTTGATTGGCAACTAGTACCCGTTAGTGATCCTTCTCACGACGCATGTTTTGGAACTTGCCAACAACACTTTCTGGACGATGGGGTTCACTTGCGGACTAGAAAATGAAGCAGGATTGAGTTCCTTTCGTGGTCTCACCTTAGAGTTGCAGACCAAAGAAGCTACAATGCTTAATATAGCTACTTGTACCTTAGAAACTAGTGGAATTGAGAAACATGCCACTCTAGCTCCTCACTTGAACCATTCTCGTGAATTCAACATCAGGAAACGGTAATACATGCCATAGCAAAAGCTCCAGTCTGTTCCAGTTAGAGTTTGGATTTAATAGGGTTGGTTGAATGTGTACTGTTTTGATGTGGATCTGTGCTGGCTTCATCTGTGCAAGGCAATGTCGGCGACGTCTAGGCCTGCTGAAAAACTTACCTCGGCGATGTCTGATGCTGTGAAGGTTTTCAAAGTTTTTATGAAGAAAAATTGCTTCAATAGTGAATTGTTGTAAACTCAGATTTGAAATGTACCCACACAACTTGTGTTGTGGATTATTACCACTTGATGAGTTATTGTTACCACTTTTGAAACTGTTGTAGGAAAAGTTGAGCAGCAGAATGTAATTAAGATGTCTAAAATTAATAAAATAGTACCTTTTACTGGATATAAGGGCATCTACTATTGTTATCCAGTAGTTATTAGAATATTTTAAAAAATGATGAGTCGCTTTTGTGTTTATCTTACCATTATTAGGTAAAGCATTTATACTTTACTTATTTTTAATATTATTAATAATTTTTAATTTATCAAATTTAATTAAGTTATAATATTTAATTTATCAAAGTTAGCAAGTTATAATATTCTTTACTCTATCAAAATCTTATGGTATTTAAAAAATTTAGAAAAAAAAATTATAATTTAAAAATTATAAAATATCTATTTATTATTCTTTTTGGGAGGTTATAAAACCTTTAAAGGTATGCAAGTAAACTTATTAACACACAATCTTATTTAATTTATGTAAAATTTAAGTATTATTTTTAAAAAATCACATACTAATTAAAAATTATGTAATTAACTCAAAATATTGGTTAAGTAAGAAACAACAAACAGTTAAAAATATTTTTGATTTTGATGATATAAAATGTTTCTTTTAGTAGGCATCAACACAAAACTACTCTGAAGTAAATGTTTTTGGTTTTTGGTTTTTGTTTTGTTTTGTTTTTTTTTTTCTAATTTTTTTCAACCTACCCAAATAAATAAAAAGAGATATAAATATCGGTTTTTCTAATAATTTATTATATTTATTGATTTTAATATTAAATTTAAAAACATAATCTTATTTTTAAAGAATTTGGTACATTACAAACATTGAATTTAAAGAATGTGTTGAATTTAAATACTCAAAAGATTAACTTAGTATAGAACAAAACATCAATCCTTATAAATTGATCTTTTAAGTACTTAATACATTACAATGCTAATTTCATTTTAAGTTGGGATTTTATGAAACAAGCTATAATAGAATCAAAAAGAAAATAAAAAATAGAATGAATAAGAATGTAAATGGCTCTATTTTTTAATTTTACAAAACACACTAGCTGTCAAAATTGCTATTTTAAAAATACAAAGAAAAAGAAAAGAAAATTGAAATTATATCAACAAATGATGTGAAAAAATATATACTAAGAAAATTTATCTGTGAAACCTAAAGACTAAAATTTTATTATTTAAAAAAATAATCATCATTAATAATTTAAACAAAAGGTTTTGTCTTTAGCAATTAAAGAAAATGTTAGATTTACCACTCAATGTTCTTAAATAATTACTACTACTTTACTTTCTCCCATGAAGGAATTTTTTTTTGTATTACAGTTATGTATTAGCTTTTTATTGTTGTTATTAAAATATTATTCTCATACTTGTAAACAAACAAAAACTCCATTCATTCTTTAAGACAAAGGCGATGGTATAAACAAGACATCTGTAACTAACTAAAAGAAACTATGCCCTACAACATCATAACACAAACGGTGTGATGAGACCACAACAGTACTTGCGAGGTGTGAAACAGAACACAACAATAAAAAACCGCCGAGGCAACTAATTCAGATGGTGTCTGTCTTATGATACGATATTGTCCGCAGTGAGTGAGTGAATGGAGCTGGTTGCGGTTTTGCGGCGAGAGGAATGAGAAAGATTTGGCTTTTGCAACATAAAACTGGGTGTGTGGATCAAAGCGAACCCTGAGATGTGAAAAATTGCGATGCGAGAAGATGAGTCTGGTGAGTAAAGTGGTCGGAGCCGCACTGCAAAACAATCATCACGTCTAACAACCCTAGCATTCGACGTGTCTGTGGGGGGTCTAGATCTTGCAACTCAGGGCTCATGCAATCCCTGCAGCAGTCCCTCCCGAGTCATCCCTTGGCGTCGACACTGTGCGAAGCGAAACTAGGGCGTTCCCTGATGCTGGATTTTTATGCTATTACTTACTGCAACTTGGGGTGGAGAATAAAAGCCGTTTTTTTGATTAAAATTTAACATAGGTTAAGATTATGATAGTAGACTGGAGTTCTCCAGCAATCATGGGCAGAGAGTGGGTGTTCAAAAAGCATCTGGGTTGAGTGTGTTTTTGGTCTTCTTCGTTGAACTGCTGTGGGATTGAATGGGTTCCCCGTCTTCTCTGGCAAGCTTTTATGACTCCTTCCTTACTTGAATACAGTTTTTATTGCAGGTAAAATAGTGGTTTGATATCCAGGTGTCCGTTGTGATCAGTTGTGTTGTGATGGCTCTTTCGTGGATATGCATGTGTGTGTCTGTATATATATACAAATATATGTGTGTGTGTATCTGCCTTGCAACTTGGCGAGCGAGCGAGCGACCATCAAGCGCGTGGATGACAGGCAATCCTTTATCAGCACCGAACCTTTGCGACCTTGGGCCCTGGTATTTGATTCATTGTGGTCATCATACGGCAGCGCTCATGGCTCCTCGCATTATCATTTCAGCAGTTACGTCGCAGAGTGTGTGCACATTCAGCCGCTTCTGATCAGATCTAAAACCGGAAAATAAAAGTAAAAAGTAAGTCCAACTGGAGGAGTTCTGCTGCTTCTTCTTCTTCTTCTTCTTCTTCTTGTTGCATGCTTGAGTTCGTTTGTGGTTCTGCACAGAGGCCTTCCTTATGAGGCCGCATGATGGATCGACCGACCGACGTACAAAAAACCCAACCAGAGTGGATATCAAACCCATTTCTATAAAGCTAGAAAATGTACATATTGGTTGGGTAGAGGCCGTTGGGCGAGGGCACGTGCGCCGCGTTTACTATTGGTTTGGACGAGGCGCCTTTTCACTCCATCCGGAAGAGCCGGTCACATAGACAAGTTAAAAATGTGGGGGGTGTGTCCTATCATTTCACAGTTATACACTCATTTCACAGTTATACACCCCTAAACCCTAAACCGCATGAGAGTGATAATGCGAAATTTTGTTCCAAAGATTTGTTCACACGTAGGCAGCCGTGAGAGGCTTGCCACATTCGAGTATAGAGCCACAGAGTTTCGTCCAAGAGCTCGGTCATCATATTCTCCCAGATGATGTAACTGTCCACTAGCGTATTGACTGAACGGGATCTAATGCGCACGAAGACCAAGCTCGCACAGGCAAGGTCTCTGAGGAAGCACAGGACTGACCATCAGGCTAATGCTTACCGCAAGTGTGTACACAACTCGGATGCTCGGATTTGTAAATTGTTATTATTGTTATTATTAGTATTATCATTGATAAGTATTCCTAAGTGAACTATTGAGACTTTCTGAATGTGATACGCGCCACAGATAGCTCCATGGAGGTAGAACGTTTAACAATTCTATTGTTGTCAAAAAGTCGAAAGGAAAGGTCAGAAACATGTTTGAAGGTCGTTTTTGAGCTATTGAACTCCAAGATTTCATGCCATAGATCATGAAAAAATTATGGTCGTCCGTTGGGTGGGTGCCATTGATGATCATCTAAGTTAGATTCCTTCGCCTGCAAAGGTGCATCATATTCTCGGGTTCCGTACCCTGAAGCAGTTTTCGGATATCTGGTGAGCAGCGCCATAATACAACATTAGATTCCCACCACAATCAAATCTGAAACTCGTGGCTTCACTCTCTGCCATTCCTTCATCTTGGATGTTTTTCAAGAAATTCTGCGTCGGGCCCGATGGGCACCACTTTATCTAGCAACATTACGTATAAAATCATGAGCAATCAGCCACCTTCTATAGCTAACTACTTGTCTTGAGTCCAAGCTTGAGCCCTCCATCAACGTTGTACTACATCGCGAGCTCCTCGACTTCTGTGTCTCGAAAACCTCTGCTACAATGGACTCAACTTGCTGCAATTCCGAGTTGACAGTTCCAACACACACTTCAGGAACCAACTGTACTGTAGCAATGGGGCCGTCTGCAACTATCACAATGGGAGCCAAGCCAAAGCTACCACGCCAGGTACCCGCGTGTAGCTACGTACTTCTCATCGATGGGATTTTGTTTTTCCATGCTCACTTTATTGCCTCTGTATCGGTACTGGATCCCAACCCAGCATTTTGGTCTGGGCATGTGCTAAATCTACACACAGTGCCCTAGCTAGACTGTACAGTAATTCTAGAGTTACGTTGTGCTGGTTTTTGTGGTGTTGCCGGTGTCGCAGGGCGTTGCAGGAGTTCCGCCTCCCAGCGGACAGCTTCTACCCATTGACTTAACTTCCCCAGTCAAGAAACTCAGTAAAAGTGGTGTTATCAACGCATACAGAGATGCCTGCACAGAAGTACAGTGCCTATCTTCTTGCTTTAACTCTACATACAATTGTATTGGTAGTTTTATAGATATAGCACAGATGGTGTGTGCTGCTAAAACTGTGCAACGTCCCGCACTAGCTAGGCTGATGTCGAGGCTTCGTCGGAGGTGGCCTCGTAGTAGTTATGGGAGCGGCATAGTTTGTTGTCAATGTGGATAAGTACTGTGGGCGTCCATATTAATTAGTTTTATGGCTATCACTGAGCACCAGCTTCATTGCAGTGCATGATTGGGTCCGGACTGTTTTTGGACGTTGTTGTTGCTGTGGCAGGCAAAGATCCCTCCCGTGAGTGCATGGTACTACAATCCCAATTCGGAAGAGGACTCCGAGGAGAACGACCCGACTCTGCCGCACCACTTCAACCCAGATCAACACGTCACTCAAGAGCACCTCCAATGTAAAATCCATTGCCTCATAAAATCAACGTTCCTGAGGTTACCTTAATTTAAGATGAAGTTCATGCACAGATTCATGAACTTGTTGACAGAAACTACATAGTTCTTCTCATTCTTCAAACCTGTGAATCCGTTTTTATGATGTTCCAGACACTTGTGATGCTAAACATAGTTGTCTTGTGTGGGTAGCTTTGGGTGTACTGGTGTGGACAGGCCTTCAGACCAGCAACTACACGAAGAATCCGTTATTTAACCTGGTCAAGTCTGACCGTGGATATCATTACGAGGTTTGCACCTCTTTTTACGCGAATTACAACTTTAATCATCTGTGTAACCATATTTCTTGACAACTCTAATCATCTGTGTAACTGGACTTCTCACTCCAGTATCCTGTTGCAGGAGGTGGTGACAGTAGCACCCGGCTCCCTACCAGACTATGACCTCAAGAAGAAAGAATTCTTCAATGAGCATTTGCATGAGCATGAGGAGGTCCGTTTGATCCTCGAAGGCGGTGGTACGCATTTCTTGAAGTCATCCGACAACTACTACCACGTTGTCTACTTCGTGGACAAAATTACCACTCGTTATCTGGAGTTTCGTGTGGAAAATTCTATCTTACATATACAAAGAGAGAGAGAATGATGTTCTGAACTATGGGTGCAGGCTATGAGGACGTCCGGGACTTCGAGGGACGTTGGATTCGGATTCACATTACGAAAGGGGTTCTCATAGAACTACCCAGGGGAATGTATCATCGTTTCACTCTTGACGACACCAACTACCTCAAGGTTTGGTTTGGATGATCTCATGACCCATAGGATACAAGGTAGAAAACGTTCTTCTGAACTTTAATGATCATGGAACTTGGCAGTTTCGGATGTGGTATACTTCAATCTTGTTGAACTGAAAGACGAGACTCCCTCTAACTCACTGCATCATTCAAGTTCCATCCGACTTGCTTTTTTCCTACAGCTTCTTCGTCCCAGTTTTCCCATGTAGCTTGAATTTAACGTCACAGCTGAGACATCAACATCATGCTTTTTGAATCACTAACCGGATGCTCTTAAAACTCTTTCAAAACTTGCAGGCAGTCCTGCTCTACCAGGAGAATCCAATTCGGATACAATTCGATCGCAACGATGGGACCGACATCATGGAAGTCAGGTGATCAACCCAATTTCGATCACATAATGAACTGAGCACCATTCAGTTTTGAACTCATTGTAACCTATCTCACACATATCAGTCATTGGTTAACAAGACAACACAACCATCTCTGATTTGCACCGTATTGGTGGCGGCACCAACTTGCAGGCTGCGATACAAAGCGAACATACTGAACCGGGACACCAGCCTGAAACTAACCAGCAGCGACCTGAATAGCATGCTGGAGGGGCTGGACGACGAGGTCGAGATGATAAGAGCTCGGCAAGATATGGTGGACGCGACACTGAGTGAAGCAGATCTGTGTGCAGGTTCAGTTGCAACGCAGAAGCAAACTCAGTGTGGTCCCGAAGTGGTGAAGGACTGCATGGACCCCTACGAGGCTGATTCCATGGAGCTCGACTCTGTCAATTTGAAGCACCACATGACTGTTGTCCAGTGACGGAGAGATGCCGCATCAGCCATCATCTCGACACCCCTGAATCACTACTGCCCAAGTTCCAAGCATGTCTGTTGAAGCTTTCCACGAGTTCTACGACAATAGTCTCACCGCTCTGAGCGCTACGTTAAGATGATATAACCATATCTAAGCTAATTCTACGTCTAGAATACTATATATATATATATATATATAGATGTGTGCGTGTGTGTTATAATAAACACAGCGTTTGTGTGTTTGTGTTGTTCAAGGGTTTGAGAATTGAACTACCGACAAGCACATTGAACATTGTAAACCAAAAAAAAATCTACAAAGACAAAAACAAAACAAAAAAAAATCGACTGTATTCGTCGTTGTTTTAGTTAGTGATTAGATTTGAGGCAGCATAGAGTTTGGATGCAACCTCCTGCGTTTGTTTTACAGTTTACTTTAGTGGAATATACTCTGTAATTCAAATCAATGTTCTGTGAGTTTTATATAAAGTGAATTTGTGTAAGGTTATATATGATGATATCAGTGTTCATACTTATCGTTGTGTTTTTATGTCTTGCTATTTTGGGTGATCACTGGTACTGGAGTTATTTTTCAAAACATTGATAATAGAAAAATAAATTATGAAAACATAGATATGTAAAAAATTGCATGCTATCATAACTAACTTTCTAAATTTTAATTGAGAAAATAAAGTAACGTTTTTAGCCTTTATGGTATGGTCTGAGCCAATATGTTGAAATTTTGAAATTGACAATAATGGAAAATTTGTGTTAATTTGAATAGTTCTGCAATGTATATTGTTTTTTTTTTTTTTTTTTTTTTTTTAAGATCTTAAAAGATATGATCTGGTTCTTTGATGACTTTAAGGTGATTGCAATATTGGACACACTTTAAATAAATGATTGTAACTAAAATTATGTTGTGTGTATTTTATTCTAAAAATAGATTACATTCAACTAAATCAAAACATAGGATAAAAATTATTTTATGTGTGCATTTAAACCAAACAATATAAATACATCCAATTTTAAAATTTTCAAGAATAAAATTTAATAGAACATGGTTACTTATTTTTATATATACACATACATAGATTCTTGAGTGTCTTTTTTTCTTTAAAAAATCATATATATATATATATATATATATATACATTAAAATATTAAAAATATTTTATTAATTATTAAAGTGATTATTTTTAACAAAAATGATAGATTTTTGAATTTTTTTTAAACATAAAATCATTTTAATCTCCAAAGTTTTTTTATGTTATCTTGCCTTCTAAACTCCAAAACTACCAAAAAAACACCCCTTTCTAGAAAAATAACTTCAAAATATATATTTTTTAGCATTTTCAATATTTTCAATCATAAGATCTTGTTTTTAACTTATGTTGGGATTAGTCCACCAAATCTTAAGAGTTGAAGTCATTGCATGTAGAAGATCATCACATTTAAAGTTGAGAGAAGAGGTTTTTTTTGGTGTTGCCCTTAAGGCATAGTGAAACTTGCTTTAGGCACAATTCATACATGTAACTTCAAAATTTTTGAGGGAATTTTTTCCAAATATGTCCTCAATTTAAGCACATGCACACAAAATCTTGGAGCAAAGAGATATATATAGCACCTTCAACTAAGTTTTTTCAAGAAATAAGTAGTTAAAACAATAGTAACAAAAAAGTTGTTTTAAAAATCATATTATTTGAAAAATAACTTTATTCAAAAAAATTAATAGAAGACACTCTTATAGGTTTTAAAGGGAGTAAAAAAAATATACATATGTAAATATTAAAAATTTAATTTATATGAATTTTAGAAGGTCATATACAACTATTAGCTCTAAAATGCACTAGGCAGCTTTCTAATATAGGGTCTCTCTTGCCAACAAAGATGACATCCTTGTTTTAATAGTAAATCTTTGTAATTGGCCTATTCATATTGTAGTAGCCATCTACCACAATAAAACCTAATATTAGACTAATTGATTTATAATATTATTTTTATATAGCCTCCAAATCTATTCACAATTATAGTTATCATGTGATTGATGCAAGTCCCTATACAAATTGCTCCAGTTGGATTCTAAATCTAAAAAACACCATAATTAATTCCAGAAACATATATTTTTAAAAACATTAGTAGGGCATAAACCTCATAAGATTCTCTACTCTTAAAAAAAAGAAATGATAAAAACACCAAAGTTTGATACTTCATGTAGAATGCCCAAAAGCCATTTTGGCTTTTAAGGAGCTTTAGGGATTAAATATTTTAGAATTTATGACATAGACTTAACTTTTTGGTTTAAAATATTAATATATATATAATTCTAAAATCTTATTAAATTCTATATCTTTGACTCTATATTCAGTATTTTTTAGAAATAAAAATATAATAAATCTTATATTTGATTTTTATTAAAAAAAAACATGTATTAATATGTTTAGTTGTAATTGTATATGAACTATTTTTATTTTGAGTACATAATATTGTAAAAATATACTAGTACAGATTATATTATTTTCTTAATTTAAAAAATACATTGATTGCTTAATAATTATACTATTTTTTTAATAAAAATAATTTTGTCTACTTAAAACTAGGTTAAGATTCACATTAGGTCCTAAGTTCCAACTTCCTTTAATAAAGTGTGTAATATGAAAAGGATTTGCAATAGAAGTAGGAGTTGCAATGGAACTAGAAGTTGTTGCGAGAGTGAAACAAGTGATTGCAATGGAACTAAGAGTCACCACTAAAGTGACAAAGCTTTAAAAACTCATTTAATAATATAAATATTTACAAATTATTATGCCACTTATTTTAACAATTTATGTATTAGTTTAAATATTTTGAAATATCAAAAATAAATAAAAACCAAAAATAAAAACTTCAATTGCTACACAAAAATTGCTTAAAAGAATGTTGTAAGTATTGAAAACATTGGTCCTCAATTATCAATTACTTTTCAAAAAAGAAAATGCTTCATATTTCTTCAATTTTTTTTTTTTTTTTTTTTTTTTTTTTTGGTAATGCTACATTTATGTACAAAAGAATTGTGACAATTCTATATTGCAGCGAAATTTAAAGAAAGTCATGAAATTTGCATGCATTTGCAACCTTTTGAATGGAGAGTTTTTATGCTCTCCAAAATCTCATGATTTATTTTTAAATTTAATTTTTTTTTTTAATAATTCAACTTTCTTTTACCACCCCACAGTGCCACATCAGCATGGCTGACAAGGCACTGCTGCAAAGAAGCAGTAGGGTTGTTACAGGATTCTATTGCCGAATCTGTGTTGGGACATTGCAATTGGTGGCGTAATTGGCTTTGCATCCAATGCATAGAAATGGCCTATGGGCTGCTTCAAAGCATCTAAAATTATGTAGCCTTTTTGACTTTGGCCACTTCACTGCAAATCCTAAAAGTGTGAGGCCAGGACTGATCTCTCTCATATTGTCAAAAAGGACTTCAAAAGGAGCACATCCCAAATAACCTAAATTAGAAAAAATAATTAAAAATTAAAAACTGTTTCATTTTACTTTATTTGCTGAAGCAAGAGAATTTCTTGTGCAACTACTCTTTATGTGACTAGTTTTGTACTTGGAGCAATTAGTGTTCAACTTAGCAAGGCTTAGGACTATAAATCTTGTTAGATTTTGTTTGAAAAGGATTTGCAACTATCAATGGATATGATATTTTTGAAAAATATAAACAATTGGTTGAAGATCTTTGTTTGTGTTGAAAATGTTGTCATGACAAACTACCCAAGAGATTTCTTGCAAAAGACAGGGTTTCAGTTAACAGGTGCAATTTTTTGTACATCAATTGATAAGCAATTAACAATTGAGAAAATTATATATATATATATATATATATATATACACAAAAACACATAGATTTAAGAAACTAGAGTTTTTTGCTACTATCACCTGATTTAAAAACTAATGGCTTCAACTTTGCAAATTTGTTCAGATGCTAGAAACTATCTCAACAAGTATTCCCAATTGATAAGCAATCTGTAAGCACAATTCTGATTGGCTTTTAAAACTCAGTCGTAAACTTGTCTTTGAGAAAATTATATATACATATATATATATAGATACACACACACACAAACACACAAACACATAGGTTTAAGAAACTAGAGTTTTTTGACCATTTTCCATGTAAACATGTTTTAGTTGCACTTATTCTTTTCTTTTCATTTCTCATCTGTATTCCCTACAAGACTTGTTGACATGGGTAGAAAGAAAGACCCATTTTACATTTGTAGGGCATGTAACACCAGAAGGGCAATTGTGGTTCAAAATCCAATGCAAACGTGCTAAATGCCAAAATGCTACAATGGCTGAATAGGTACAAAGTTAGTTAGCCATGAAGTGCAGATTATAGTTGCCCACACATATTCAACACAAGGACTTAGTACAAAACAGGAACAGTGTGCATTTTATAATAGAGAATGAGAGCAACAATAACAAATGTTTCCTTCTTCCTCTTCTGCCCATGACAAGACAAAGCAATGCCTCTTCTTCAACAGTTGGTCTGCTACCCAAAAGAATATGTTATATATATATATATATATATATCTGTAATTATATGTGTGTGAGTGTGTATAAATATATATATATATATATGTATGTGTATGTATGTGTGTACAGATAGATAGATAGATAGATAGATAGATATATACACACATGAATGTAAGTGTGTAAATATTGAAGCTTTGAAGCTTCAATATTTTTGGAAGCTCTTGTTTACTTGCTCTCATAGAAAATGGTTGGGTGTTTGGTTCTAAGAGCAAAAGAGAATGTAAGCAAATGTTATGTAATTCTTGTATGCAACATCCATGTCAAAGTTGGTTGGATTTTTTTGTTTTTGTTTTTTTGTTTTTGTTTTTGTTACACTTTGTTTGTGTTTTCTTCATTTGAATTTGCAACTGTAGAGAAGATCACACATTGCAGCCCCACATGGCATATCATTAGATTCTCTTCCCTTAAAAGCCTATTTTGGCATGCATAGGGTTGTTACAATGGGATGTTGGCTGGAGTAGAGGTGTGACAAATGCTAGTTTTCTATTCATAAAGAGGACAGAGCCCATCACAAAAGGCTGAATATATACATAGAGAAAAGAACAACAAGGATAATAATAAATAAATAAAAGGGAAAATAAAATAAAATAAACACATAAAAGGAGCAAGAAGGAAGAATGATAGATAAAATGAAGAAGGAAACAGGCACTTGCTAAAAAAAAACTTTACTGCTTGTATTGTGTATTGGACTTTACAAAAGATTGAGTTTTATTTTTATTCTTAAAAAATCATATATTTAAATGTGAAAATAATTTTTACTAAAAAAAGAAATATATTCTTCCACAAGACAAATTCCAAGCTCTTGAAATGTGAATGGATACTTGATAACAAATGATTGTCATGTGAATTTCAAAAAGGAACAAGTTTACACGTTTCTTCTATAAGCACGTCAATCAGAAATCAACAAGAGAAAGTTTACAAGTATGCATATTATTCTAAAAGTGCATTTTATTGAAATTTATTTAACATAATTATGTGAATGGTAGTTGCAGCAACACCATATTATAGTGGTTATAATTTTTGGTTAATTGCCCAAAAATTTACATATTAAGATGTTAATATATATATATATATATATATATACTTTAAATTAATGAAAAAAATAAAAATTTACTCAAAAAAAATAAATTAAAAAACCTAAAAAATCTCTACAAATAGTATCAATGTAATCAGAATGTTTTGACTAAAACATTTTGATTCAGCGTTTTCATAAACGATAATTTTAAAATTTAATTTATCGTATCTTAAAACTTGTGTAATTAATTATTTGCAATTAAAAAAAAATCCACTTGAGTTCCAAAAATCGTACTAATGTTTTAGGTTGAAAATACTTTATATACTTTTTATAAAAAAGGACTTTGAATTTAACAATTTTTAAGGGTAAATAGGTAATATTTTCAGATTCATGATCATCATTTTAAATACATAATTTAATATCTTTTGAAACAAACTAAAATTAAAAGATATTCAAAAATTATACCACAGAGCAGTTTTCATTAATTATTTGTTTCCAATAACCTTTTAAAAAAATAAAATAACTCAAAACAAAATTGTACATAGTATCTTACAACTATCAAAAATAAAATAAAATAAAATAAAATGTAAACAATACACACACTTAGTGACAAGCTATCTCATGACCTCTTTCAAACTTATGGGCTAATTATACACCCAGTGGTTTTACTATCATCAGCCTTCTATCTGGATAACATCAAAGGTTGTGTTTACTAATTCTACATCAATGCAAAAAAAGTGATCTTTAAAACATTATAATTGAATTTCAGGAATGCGGTTCTCTTTTGTTTTTTTTTTTGCAGAAAATCGTTTACTTTACTTGCGTTGTGAAGTTCATCTATCTTTTGATCATGTGGCAAAATAGTGTACCCAATCACAGTTTCAAAATGGTTTTTGCAAAATGGCTCATTTTTTGATCATGTAATGTGGAGTCCACTCCTCATGATTTCATTCAATCAAAGCTCGCAAAGGAAGCTGATGAGTGCCACTGCAAATAACCATCTCAGCAGGTATTTAATGACACAACACTTCAAGTGCTACCTTCAGACACAAAAGTCCAGCAGCACAGGAATTGTGTTTGGATAGACATCATTTGAAAGCAAAAAAAAAAAAAAAAAAAAAAAGTGAGAAAAAATTCCACACAAATCTCTAACAAAGGCATTAACAAGGATTTTTGCTTTGGAAGATCTTATCCAAAAAGCAAATGCAATGTATGATGATCCTAGCTTATACAAAGAACTATCCGCATTAAAAGTATATGTGTGTTTTTTTTTAAATGCCTATAAATTCTAATTTATTACTTGTCTCATTAAAATCACTTCTTTTGTAATATACTAGTTGTACTAAGAGTCAACTATAAACCTAAATCACTTTTTAAAGACACATTAGAGGCATCAAAGATTTTGCTACAACCTTGACTCTCTTTATATTGTGGGTTTCTTTCAAAGAATATAAAGATAGAATTTTTTTGATTAATAATAATATATATATATATATATATATATATTTTTCTTTGCCTATTTATTTATGGAAACCAATAATTAAAGAAAATATAATTTTAATTGATTAATTCAAGAATACACCAAAGAAAGTGTTGTCATTTGATTTTTTTACAAAGTCTTAGAGGTTTGTGACTTTGGAACTTTAATCACATTAAAGATTCTTGGATTAAAATTTTCAAATATAAAAGAAAGTATCCAAAATAGTTGATTTTTGTTCTTGGTTTTGTTCTAAGTTTGCAAACTATAGCTCTAAGACAATGTTATTTTCCCCATCTAAGATAGTCTTAAAACTATGAATTGCAAATTTATAAGAAAACATAGAGCACTGATTAATATTAAAAAAATATTCAAATAATTATTTATTATTAAATCATCATTTTAAAAGCTAACAAAAATACTTTAGTACTAAATTCATATAAAACCTCTATTGGTGTTTATACCATGAAAAAATGGGCACATAAATTTGATTCATTTAATCTAAATCCTTCTTAAACTTGAGTTGGAATCCTTATGAGAATTATCTTCTATAACCTTTAAAAATTAAAAAGAAGATTTAGTAATTTATATTATAAATGTATTAAAAAAATTAGAATAAATTTATATTCTATGTATAATTTATTCTAATCTTCATTGTTTTTTTGTAAGTCTTTTAAAAGTTGTATAACTCCAACAAATCTTATACCTTTGAAACCTTTTCAAACATGATCTTTATTTATATCCCAATATCCAAAAACAACCCTATTTTATTGTAGGCTCTTGCTTTTTAATGCATTGGAGTCAAATTTTGATCCAATTTCATAAATGATTGTCTCCCAAGTATCAATCCTAATATATTAATGGTTAATTCTGCAAGAAATTAACCCTAACTTTCCTCCACAAGTAACCATATTATTCGTTTATCTACTCAACCTTAACTCAGTTATGGCCCTACTAAGATAGCAGAAGCTTTTTTTGATACAAAATGCATTTTAAAACATACATGTGATATTTAAACTTGATATATTAGTTATTAAGGTGTAAAATTGAATAAATTCCATCAGACTTATACATAAATTTTCTTCATGTGTTTTAGCTCTTCATTAATATTTTATTAAATAACCATGTTTCAAAATAATAACTCTTCACAAGTATTGATGTTACATAGCTACAAAACAAATTTAGAAGTGAAATACAATCATTTTTTATTTTTTATTTTAACAAACAAGGCTTACAAAACTCTCCATTGTCAATTCTTACCATGTAAGAAATAATATTTAATAAATATCTATATAATATAAAAGATACAAAGATACTTTGACCATTGAATGAAAGAACTTTTTGAATAATATAAGAGTAATGAAATTACTTGATCTTTAGGGGTATTAAAAATAAATAAATAAATAAAATGATAGGACATAATATAAATTGATGGAATAACATGATATAAACTAATAGATTGTAAAAAAGTTTGTTAAAAAGAGATTCTTGAACTAATACATTCAAAACCACAATGTTGATTGTGATATTTTTATTAAACCAAAAAAGAAAATTAGGAAAAAAAATTCTTGGACCTAAAACTTCAAATAAGAAATCATTTTGGAAATACATCCCTCCCTAACTTGAGAAATCCACAACTTGAGCCTTGAAATGAAGCTCATCTTTAGGTTCAATCTATTTTCATCGGCAAAAAGAAGGATCCTTGTGTTTCAATAAAAAAGAAAAAATTAAACGAAAGAAAAGAAAGATACACGTAATTGTTAGGTAACAGCACAGTGAATACTTTGTAAGAAAGATCTGTTAGTAGCCACAGAGCTACGACTCCACCCCATCAGTCTTCCGGAAAAACTAGACGCTTGTCTCCTCCTTAGAAAATGATGAAGGGACGATATTTATGATTGATTCATTCAAAACACTCATGCTCGGGCGGCCCTTCATGTATATATTGGATATCAGCATGGTTTTTTGTGAAGTGTGCTCTCGCATATTATGGTGGAAGCTGACTATCAGGATTGTAACAGCTCGGTTAACTTCACAAAAAACCATGCTGATATCCAATATATACATAAATATATATATATATATATATATACATACATACATGCAAACGTTTTGACCTAGTCATCTCCCTCCTGGTGACAAATTTGGAAAACGTACAATCAGATTCCCTCGGCGGAACCCCTACCAAGTGCAGCGTTTCAATTTGAATGATGCGAAAATTTGCATCCTTCAGTTTCGCACAGGTACCTATTTTGAACACCACAACACTGAAGCATGATACTGCATGCATTCAATTACAAAGCCCTGAGATTTGGCTCTAACACGAGCTGAACTGCGAACTTCATAAGTTTAGTGAGGTGCAAATCTAAGTGAATTTGTCTTGGCTAATGGATGATACCTGGCAATTCAGACGTTGTAACAGCTTGCAATCGCATTTCAGCACATAACTAAATGAAGAACGATACAAATGCTTCACACAGAAACGCGACTTTAGACCCTACATCCAGAGCATTAAAAAATCATAATTTAAATTGTTACAACTTGACTAAGAGTTCTCATTAAGTGATGAAGCATGCTGAAACTACAAAAATCCACATGGTGATAAACAACCAGAGCTATCCGCTACTGACAGCCTGGCAAACCATGTAGACAACTTGGTAAATAAAATATTGCACTAAGAAGCTAAACCCATAATTTTCTGTTTCTAGGGATTTAATGTGTACAGCAATAGTGCAACAATTAAAGACAATGACTGAGAAGGTAGAACGAAGCACTATATCCTTAAAAATGTTCACTTCTCTACCTGTCCACAGTGATGCAGCCACGCTGAGTAATGTCTATGTCTGGATTTCAATCAACAGCAATATTCTAGCACCACTCCAGCATTGACTATTTAAAACTAAAAGGTTGAAATGTCAGGAACCAGGGATCTTACAGCCACGACTACGAGTTCGTCCGTAGCCGGCAAATGATGGTAACATAACAGTAGGCTTATCGCAGTGGATCACACGACAAATCGATACGTCACATACCGGCCTGCAGTCTCACTGGGACGGATAATCTTCACCACTTGGCCCCGCTTAAGACCATAGTAGCGTGCTACAGGGTCATTCTCTTGCATCCGAGGAAGCTGACGAATAAACCACGCACTTAATCAATCAAACTGGAGTAAAACAACCCTAAACCCTAAACCCTAAACCCTGTCACTCTCTCTTTCGAACAGCAAATTCTAGTCTCCAAAGATTGCATGATAGGGTTGTGTCATCAGGGCTACGACAACAGAAAAAAGACATATGATGAATATTCGAACCTTCTAATATGCAGGGGAAAATAAATACATAGTAGAGAATTATACCAATAAAATCCAAGCTGAAAATGAATACCTGCGTTTCTTTCACAGTGTAGCGCTCAAGCAGCGTTTTCTTCTCATCGGGAGTCAACACTTCGTGCAATGGAACAAGAACATGCTCCTTTATGTTGACGAGCAATTCTGCTTCCTGCGCACACCTTTATATCAGCTCAACCCTAAACCATAATGAGGATTTCAACAGAGCCCTCTCACGGGGCCATATCCTTTACTACGAGAGGCAATCGGAAAGATAACACTGACCTGAAACACTTCTAAGTGATACTTGCTTGCCATCTCACTAACACATTGTCTTGCAAACGGTGTGAGGTTCTGCTGCACAACGAGAATAGCCCTGTGCACATTCTCCGTCTTCATACGATCCACATACGTCTTAATCGTCTTCACTCCTACCTTAGCTTCTTCTGGGAAAAAGACAAAAATCTGGGAGCATGTCATCCAACATTCAATTCCACATCATGAGATACAATCCACAAACCACAACAATGAAAGAACACTAATCTAATTATGAAAAAAAAAAAAAAAAAAAAAAAAAAAAGAGGAAACCTACATGTTCAGCGTTGTTGGACCGTCTAGGTTTTTGAATCACAAGGTCCTCTCGCTTCGGCTCGTCTCCGTACTTCTCCCGGAACTGCTCCTTGGAGAGCGTGAGCTCATAGTCTGCCACCACGTAGTCGCGATCCCGCAGCATCTCCATCACGGTCTTCCGAATACGGTACAGACGGGCGCTCTGCTCGTCCAGCGATTGTCCCGACATCGTTCTTCCCCGTGAAAAAAGCTGAAAGCAACTTCCTATGAGCTCTAAAAACAGGAATCGGGGTACAGATAAACAGACACACCACACCTTCACAATCACGCCGAACTATACACAAATGGGATACACAGAGCACTTCCACAAAGTGTGCGGCCTCAAGAGCAATCGCGGGTTTCCCTCGGCGAGCGCGGGCTGGGTGCCTCCCACGCTTGTCCTACCCTGGCGATGGATGTTCTATAGATGGATGATCGCTTTCGTCCATTAATTCATTCATCTGCTCTGTGCTGCCCCCCCTCCCGTCCGCCAGTCCCCCAACCTTCCTTCTGTCTTCACTGTTGGTTCTGGATGCAATCCATTCGTTTTCATTTGTCATATTATTTTATAGGTAGAGTTTTGACAAAACATGTAGAACGAGGGTATGTGGTTATATTTTCTGAGGAACTATAATCTTTTTTTTAGATATTACTGAATAGGGTTACTATTTTTTTCTGATATTGTGATGAAACCTATGATTGTGGATTGTTTTTGTTCCAATCATCGCAAACCATAAATAAAAATAATTTTTTTTTGTGCTTTATAAAAATTGGTTTTTTATGCACCATAATTCAATCATTTATTCAGTTTTTCCAGTTTTATTATCAATTTTTAAATGTTTTTTTTTTTTAAAGTAAAATTAAATGGTTCTAAAATTATTATACAATTAAAATAACATATTTACTACTTTATACATACATATATATATATACATACATATATATATATATATATATATATATATATATATATATATATTTACATAGTGAAAACCCCTATTGTTGGTCACAAAAAAGGTAAAAAAATAATTTGTGGTTGTTAAGCAAAAAAATAACTACTCTTAAAGAAATATTGATCAGAAAAAGAAAAAGAAGAATATATACATAATAATAGAACCATTTATGTCTTTTTAGTATGATTGGCAAGCATAATTCTTATTTAGTACATATTTTTTTTTTCTAGCAGAAATATGTGTTGTTGGGCATAATGATCCTTGGTACATCTATCCATTCTCTCATTCATCTATGCTTCCTTATGTTCTTTAATTCCCTTGTTCTTTCATTCTTATATTTGATTTCATGTTTTTTAAGTTTTTTATAGTATATACATACATCTATTATTTAAATCATATTATGAAATGGCTAATTGTATTTTATTTTCATAAAAAAGATCTTCAAACTTTTTTTTATAAAATATAAATTCTATTTATATCCTCCTATACTAATTATATGTATTCTTCCTACAACAAAAGATTGACTGCACTACTTTTAATTGAAGTGTTTTTAGAGATAAATGACCTTTTTTTCTAAAATATTCATCTTTTGTCACACCATTCATATTTGTGGCATTGGTTTTTTTTAATCTTTTATAGGCATTATCAAGGTACATTCAAGACTATTGTTTCTACCACTAATGCATATAGGTTTAAAGAAGTGTCAAAATTTCAATGTAAATACTATCCTTGCTTGCAATTGATTGCAAATCAACATAAAATCTTAAGACTTTTTTTATCATATTTGTAGTAAAAATGTATGAAGAACTTCAATTCAATGCTATTTATTGATTTTAGACTCACATATTAGAAAAATACCACAATTGCATTTCATTTATCAAAGATGATTTTCTTAGATCTTGGCTATCAAAGATGCTTATTTTTATATGTTATAATTATAGTAAGGTTCTAATATGTTTTAATAATCCATTGTATTATCTTATTTCTTATAATTTGATCTCTACTTGTGCATACTAAGGTTTTTTGACAATATATTCTTGATGATACGACATTGGATGACTCTATAATCTATCTTTGACTTAGTAGAGATAAGAATAATGGTACATGTATGGGTGTGAAGACAAAATATACTTTATTTTAGAAGAAATTACAACTTCATAGTATTCAATTCTATAGCAAATGGCTTTAGTATTCTATTCCATCAATTACAAACACAAGAAGCAATTGTAATGAAAGTTTTATATATATCTATTGGCTTTTAGAGCCATAGATATTATCACTTAAATAAGAGTATGTAGTATTTTATTTATAGATCATATTGATATTTAAGTAATTTCTATGGAAATACTTAGTTTAACTATTATAGTACTTATTCCAATATTGAACTTGATAATTTTACAAATATGTGCAACCATGGTTCTTGTTGAAAGTCCATGGCTTATACTTTTGAATATTACAATAATTGAAAAATAATGTAGAATAATGCAACTAAATAAAATCCACTTAAAATTCTATTTTTTTTGGATATTAGAAAATTAAATATATAATTCAAATAAGTGTTATAAATTTTAAAAAATTTATTTTACATTAAGAGCATCTTATTGTTTTCTTTTCTTACTGTATTTTTGTATTTATCTTTTTTTTTATGCTTTGCCTTAGTACTGCTTTGATTCTTTTTATTTTTGTATCCCTCTCTTACCTTTTCTTCTTCAATTTTTAGAATCCCATATTTACTTACAAAAGCATTCTTTTATTATAATTGGAAAATATAGTGCTTGATCTTGTATGGTCTCTTTTTTCTCTCATGCTATATGATTATTGTCAAAGTAGTGTATATTGGTTCAATTTTATCCAATTCTTATGCGACAATTGAGTTAATATGTTGTTGGTTTGATTGCTTTGTTTTTTCTTTGTGACTTCCACATTGCATGCACTACCTTTCTTTATTTTTAAAATTTCTTCCATCAATTCTTGTAAATTGTGCTCAATTTTTACTACGCTCCATTTCTTCTAGTCTACAACCATGTTGCAAACCTTCATTTTATGCTTATGCATTGCCTTCTTCAAATCCACCATTTTTGTAGGCCTTCAATAAGATTTTTTTTGATTTCATCACCTTTTAACTATACTTGAAGTTAAAAACAGTATTTGTGAATCAATCATTTTTTGGACTATAATGTAATTTTGTGTCATAGTTTATCATTCAGATTGTCTAAAATATTGATGTATTGTATTTTAATTTTTAAATGATCGGTTTTAATTATCATTAGAATATGATGAAAAAAGTGCTTGCCAAATTGTTTGTCTTAAAGGTGTTGAAGAAGACATTCTTGCAAAAAATCATAATATATAGTAATTTTTTATAAAGCATTTGGATATTAAATAGCATAAATTAAATAAATAATTTGAAGCTATTGAAGGATTATTTTAGCAATGATTAGATTTGATTCATGGCCAAAATTTGTTGTCCAATTTTAAATTCTAACAATCATTAACATTCAACAAGTTTTGTTATAAATTTCAATGAATAAATATTATAAAAGGTTTAATAAATTAATTATTTTAAGGATTTAATCATTTATTAAAAATAACTTGACGAAATTATGCATGACATAGAGAGAAATTACTATATTTTTACTATTGCTATTACTATTGTTAAAAATAAGAAGATTAGAAAGTCTTAAAATAAAATTAAGGATTAAAAAAGCATTGATAAGAGTGAAGAAGACTTCATCCTTGCCTCCATATATACTATCTAATTAGAAGCTATATGTTAATGTTTTATAGGACCTCCAATACGTGTTGACTGTGTAAGACATATTCTTTTTGCTATCTTTAAAATTTTAGATACATAGATAGATAAAGTATGGCCTTCTAATGATGTATTTTTATAATATTAAAGGTGAATTTTATCACATAATAAGAGGGATGCAAAAGGATTGTTTATTAACAATATAAATTATTGACTTGACAAAGATTATGTTATGGAGTTTGTTCAATTGGTCAAGTTAATCTTAGCTTGTTACAAGTAAATATATTTATTCTGATAATTACCTATATGATTAAGTAGAAGTAAGTAAAAATAGATTAATTTTATAATATCTTTTATATAATTTCTTAAAATCTTTATAAATATGATTTTGATTTTATACATATTTTTAATTGATTAATAGGTTAGAAACTTAGTCAATAAATTAATCACATATCACACGTGTTGGTAGCTTGTGGAACAAACTAACTATGTGGCACACATATAGATAACTTGCCTTGCAATTTAAAATATGTATCTACTAAAATCAATACATATTAGAGGTCCTATAGAATATTGCCACATAGCTCTTAATTAGAGAGTATATGTAGAAACAAGAGTAAAGCCTTTTTTATTCTTGTCAACACCTTTCTAATCCTTAGACTTGTTTTAAGATTTTTTAGTCCTTGTCTTTGGCAATAGCCATTCTGATTCAATATATTATCATCTTTAAGTGATTTTATAGTCTTTTTGAATGATATAAGAATGTATTGAGGATTTTTTTCTTCAAAATTCATATCCTTGATAGTTTGATAAGAATATTGACTTATTGTTTTAGTCTTGTTATAGAAGTGAGTAGAATTATCCCACTTCTATTATTGTATTTTGAAAGTTGTAGATTATCGACCTTTAAACAAATAGTTTAGCTTTTTAACACTAATTTTTCTTTTAAAGAGAGTGGATTACTTTTCTTTGTAAAAAAATTCATTTAATATTAGAGATTGTAGATTTTCTTTTAATTTAATTTTTTGAAGTTGTTTGAATTGTCTATAGAACAAACTTCTACTCTCAAAAAAAGTGCGAATAGATTTGCAACCATTGTAGATCTTCATGAGTTTTTTAATACTCTAAGGATAGAAATCTTATATATTTCTAATGTGAATCATGAAAGTACTATTCCTACACATACAAAAGAAGTCCATAGCCTACATGATGAAGTTATGTAATTGAAGGAAGCAAGTAGATTAGCCTCATAACCAAATCTAAAAAGTCTTTCTTTTATAAGTACAAAGGAAGAAAGAATTAATATGCCTAAAAAGTTTGATAGAATAAGATCAAAATTTTGAGGATTTTAATAACAAATTAAGTTCTATTTGAGATTGTATTCTATCCAATACTCCAATGGATTTATTTAAGTTGAATTTGTAGATGCACTTCTATTGGAGAGTGCTCTCTCTTGGTTTGTACCTTTGATGGAAAAAGATTCATGACTACTTTATGACTTAAATTTATTCTTATAAGTATTTATGGTTATATTTGGAAAAAGTGATAAAAAATGATAGCAGAGACCAAGCTTATATTACTATGATAAAAATCACGTTCAGCCATCACATATGCTGTTAAATTCCTAAATCTTGCT